GGACCTTCATCCCTTCAAGGCTAGGCCTATACCATCCTAGCTAGTCTAGGCCTAGAGTAGGAAGGCTAGTGCGACATGAGGACGTTGGTACGAGTAGGTTAGTCTACAAACGTCGCCTAAAGTAATTGATTTTACCCGGCAAAATGAAAGAAGGAAACTCCGCTTTTCAGTCGTATTAGGCACTTATTTTTTGACAAACAATGACCTTTCAGAGGTCAAATTGCTGTCAAGAATATGAATTGGCTGCTTCGCAGCAATAAATGAAGATATTAACAGAAGTATACTTTTACATGTTGAATCCTGGAGGGATAAGAATCGACATTGGTTGCAAAGGAGTGTAATGCATAAAAATTAGCAAGTCAAAAAAAAAATGCATCTTAAGAATAATTATAAAAAATTCTAATACCTTAAATAGTATCGTCCAAATATCTTGCAACCTTGTTCCGTGTTTTATAAACATATCGTAGGTGATGTTAACTGCTAAGACTGTGATCCCTTGCTCTTTTGTCAGCATACTTGCCAACGTGAACAACATGCTACCGAACAGATACAACCATTTTTTGATTGCTATATTCTGAGTTGATACTTCTTCAGATATATCTCGATGCTTACAATAATTAATAAAACAGAGAAACGAAGCTAAGAAAAACATGCACGCGCCAACATCCGCCCGGCCTACAATCCCCGCAACAGCTTCCGTGTGAACAGGATGAAGGCTAAATAACAAACCTGCAAAAATTGTTGGGAACATTCGATTTAGGAATTGTCTTGCAGTGTAAGTAAATAGCAATGTGGTGAGACAGTGTAAAAGTACATTGCCTAGGTGATATCCAAATGGATTCAAACCACCAAGGAAATAGTTTAGTCGAAAAGTTAGAACGCAGATTGGCCGGTAGGACTTGTGACTACCGCTGTGTATTAGTGGTGTTCCCCAAAAGTCGTCATAAAAGATATTTGAAATTGGAGAATCCGGTAAAAGGTCTTGGTTCTTTTGTATTGCACGTCTGAAATAAAATAAAGAAATATATTTTTGAGGAAAAGATAAGAGAAATTTTGCTAAAATAAACTAATTTGTTCCAGACATTTGTATGTAAAATATAACATGATCATAAAATATTTGTTGTATATGACTAAAAGAAAAAGCTCAATATTGAAATTAAAAACATAGGTCTACATCATCATATCAACAATATTCTGGAATTTTCCTATGGCAATTTTTTAGGTTATGATAATTGCATGGTAGTAAAGTATTGCAATAATGTAAAGTCAATTGCTTGAGAAACCAAGATAACAAAGGTGCATTGTACAATAGCTTATCTATACAAATTGCATTATGCACTTTAATGGCATTTGCTGGTCTATATAAATACACTCAATAAAAAAGTAATTAAAAATAAGTGATGAAAAGCACAATACCAATCACAATAATAAGTATATACTGTACACCGATTCTTTTGCACTTATGAACTATATTATTAAAATTACTTTTTCAAAACATAGTTTTGTTTTTTAATTAAATGTTATATTATATAAATGTAGAGTTGGAAGACCATGGTAACACTATTACTAAACCAAAACAGCTTCATTTTAAAAATGGACCATTAACATATTTATCAAAAATAAATGCCAATTGCTACACTGTTTGTAGCAATACAGGTTCAAATAAATGCTGAAAAGAAGTATAAATTATACGAACAATACAGTAGGTCATATTTATATATTGTTCTAGAACCACAGAGTTCTAAATGCAAGAACAATAAGGTACAATAAATCAGGGAACAATAGATTTTTATTAGTAACAAAATGTAGCAATACAATTCTTTGGCCTGACAAATCCAATCCAATACATGCAAATATTTAGTTAAAAATGTATTCTCAGAGCTCATATGCATCGACTGATTATCTAATTATGAATTTTGTCCAGCCACTGTGAAATCCTCTTCTGTATTTTTTAAATCTGTCAATCTGGTGTTGACTCTGTCATTTAGAATGATGAAATTACTGCGCATCATTAGTTCTAAATAATGCGTCAAAATCAATAACCAAATCCTGCATTGCAGTTAACACAAAGTTTGGAATTGGAATGTAGAAATGAAAAGATTAATATAATACAAATGGGATGATAGGGAAAAGTCTGTTTCTCATCTTTTATTCATGTACAATTGACTCACATAAATACAAAATTTTCTCTCAACATGTAGGCCTAGAAATATATTGTATAATCTGACTATAAGACCTAGTCTCTCTGAATACTATACTATACTACTACTATTACTATTTATCTATGGGCATCTTTCAGGGATCTAGAATTTGTTTAAAGAGGGGGACATCCCAGTTTTCATATACAGTGTAGGCCTAGATGCAAAGTAATTATACAGATAATATGCATCTAGCAGTGATATTATTCTGTTCAGTATGCACTATTACAAGATATTTTAACATTTAGTATTTTAATGGTATTTTGTATTTTTTTCTGTTAAAAAAAAAGGCAGTGGCAAAACTGAACAAAACCCTGTATCCCTCCCTAGTACACACCTATCATTCTCACAATCCCAAAACAGTAGCACAAAAAGAGGACAGCCAAGCAAATGCAAGTATCAGTATCATCATGATTTTACATCTTCCTGGCTGGTTCAACATAAACATTGTAGTTTTATGTTGACAACATATTTTGCAGGTAAAAATTAAAATAGCAGACCAATGCTTCTAAGCATCGGCATTTGATAAATAGGACATTGTATAAGTAGGCTAACTCTATACTTTGCAATGAATAATGTAGTTGTAAACATGAACGTTGCTGCAATTTTAATCAATGGCAAAGTTCATTTTTGCAACATCACATTTTGCTCAGAGTCATATCATGATGATGAATAGTAAGATTAATAACATATTAACAACCAAGTGCTACATCAATAAAAATGCTTTATCATGAATACAAATATTAACAACAAAATTAGGATTTGATTTCATAATGCATTTGGCACATACATATATGTACAGTATAGAAATATACAAAAAGGCCTACTTTATGATGTGTAGGGCCATGCACAGGGAATTTCCATGCATTACATGGCCTACAGCAACACAATGAAGACAGATAGCACTAGCATAAACAATCTACTGCACATACTACTACTCTGTAATATTAATTGCTAACCAAATGTGTGTTGGCATTCCATTCATCATTTTTCGATTTCAGGGTTGTGTATGTTTTTTATGTGTGAAATATTTTAAAAACATACTATTTGTGGATAAAACCTCAATATTTAATCAAAATTATTATTCACAAAGAAACAAAGATCACAACAATTTGGTTTTCATTGAGTTAAAAGGCTTTACACAACAAAAATCCTTAAAATCATTGCAAAACATTAAAGGTTAATGCCAGCGCCTGGGATTCCTTGATAAGGGGTCAAAGGTTCATAACAGGGTTGACACAAGTTTTAAGAATATGCATGTGTGGATGCTTGGAAATGGCATTGGGGGGGGGGGTTCTATGGTTCGTGGATAGCCCTCTAGAACCTGGCATTGCTACTGGTCTATGCCAAATAATATCACCATTTATAATTATTTGTTTTCTAAAATTTTATATAGAAAACTACCAACTTAAATAAAAAAGTTTACAATTCAAATAGTGAATTATATTTTTCATATTTTTTTAGCTCATGACAGCGGGTTGTCCTATACATTGTAGAATGTAAAATGTTTATGAAACCGCATGGAATACATCAAGTGACGAATGATATGAAAAAAAAACCCTAGATGATACACCTAGAATGTATTAAAGGTTTCTCTTAACTCATAAAATAAATGACATTTCCATACAGAATTCTCAATATTTGAAATGGAAAATATGTGCATTTTTGGAATGTGACTGTTATATTGCTGTGTAATATCCGCTGCAGTATTTAAAAAACGGAAGACATAAAAATCCACTAAGAAGTAACAATATCCAAAAAACTGATTTAGAAAATCTAATTTTTTTCACAAAAATTTAAACAATGGTAAACATTTTAAGTAAATCTAAAAAAAAAAAATCTAAAAAATTAAATAAATTAAAAAAAATCTCATTTAAAAAGGCCAAATAAATTTATATTCAGCTCACAACATAGAATAAACAAAATTAGCAAAGGTAGAGGAAATCAGGTGAAAGTACACCTATACAACCACTAATTCAACCACCTCAACATACATTTAAATAATTTAGTTTTAGTTTTAGTAAAATAGTTTCTGCTGATGTACAGACTTTTCTATGATCATGTAGTTGAAAACTATTGCTCAAAAATGTGAGCTAAGATTAAACACTAGGCTACATATGCCATGCTGAATTTTCTTGGTGCAAATCTAATTGCAGATGTGTTCATATTTAACTACATATATTAGAAAATATTTCCACTAATCTAGGCCTAGGGAACAGATTAAAGCAATCCACAAACTTAAAAACTAGAGACTAATAACATCACCTATAGGAGACATTTATTCACGTCTCAGCAAGTTAAAAACTACAGACTAATAACATCACCTATAGGAGACATTTATTCACGTCTCAGGAAGTTGCGAGTTGGCACTGCACATTTTAACGGGTAATGAATAATGAGCTATCAAAAATTACACGTACATGTTATATTCAATGCATATTTCATTAATATCTAAAACAAAGCCAATTAGAATAATTCTAGCAACATTTGAATAATGAAAGTCTTTATTACCGATGCTCATAAAATATATAAATCGATAGCAAACTGACCTTTGTACAACAATATTACACATCAATAACTAACAAAACAATATGACAATGGCAAATTAATCAAAGACTATTTTATTTTTATTTTAATTACCTGATAAAATGCATTAATTATTACTTTTTCTCACATGATAATAATTTATTCAAATTTTATGGAAGAAAGGCCTATACACTAGAGAAAACAAAATATTTTATTGGCCATTTCTTTGTTTGAGGAAACAAAATAAATATGCAGCCATATTTCACAAATAAAAGTGATTGTGCCTACTGGAAGAAAAATTTATGTTTGTAAACCCAAGTAAAATGATATCTACACAAAATGAATGCATCTACAGCCATATTTCACAAATAAAAGTGATTGTGCCTACTGGAAGAAAAATTTATGTTTGTAAACCCAAGTAAAATGATATCTACATGATATATACTTCAAGCAAAAATTTTGTTTTTGTTTTTGTTAAGTAAACAGAATGTACCTAAGGCTATCAATACTCACCCAAAAAAGAAGTTTCCTAATACAAATAGAAAAATGTATATGTACAGAAAGCGAATAGTCAGCAAGGTGGAGAGGGAGATGTCACCTGACACAGCTTTGCTATTACTGTACTCTATTATAGTGTTGCCACCTACATCCAGACATTTCTAAATGTGAGCACTCTGAAATTTCACACAGTCAATTAAATTGTCTTCAACTTTGCAAGATACTTTTTTAAATTATAGGACAAACCACCTTGCTAATATTATTAATCTATTTCTAGTAATTATACTAGTACAGAATATTTACTTGGAATTAAACAAATGAGATCTGATAATATTAATCTTCAAGATAAATTTGTTAATAGGTTTTTATCAGCACACAAAAGTAAGCAAATAAAACTCAACTTTTTTTTTAAAGAACATAGCGCAGATTCAAACAGAATCTGTCACAATTCATTTAAAGATAGATCACAAGATTTAAAGAATGACATTTAAAGAATATTGATGTTAATTCTAAGCTTACTTTCATATTGTAACAAGTTAGTAAAACCGGGCGCACACTCTGCCGTATGGCCGTCGGATCTAACTCTGTGACGTTGGATCTATGTGATGCTGTCTGCTGATTATCGGTGACAGTCTGAACGGATCGTCATTAAAAACGATCCATTGCGCGTGCATCATGGCATAGCATTCTACGTATAATCGCATCGGCCGAAGACCTTCAGGAGCAGTCAGTTCCCGGCTTAACAATTTAACTCCATGAGAAATAGTGATCACATTCTAGAA